AGTTCAACGCAGATTCGGAATAAGAACCTCTTTGCTCTCTGTTTTCGTTTATTCTCATTTAAATTCTAAGTATTTTCGTCATCTTATTTTCGTTGTGCGGTTCTCGCAGATAGCCGGTTCCTCTGGAAACTTAGGGTTTTCCCGAAGTTTCCTTTTTTACGATTTATTTGACAGTAGGGTGAAATCGACTCCCACAAGTTGGTGAAAAACTTAGCAATGAGTTGGGTATTCATTCTTAGGTAGTTGGCTATTTAGTAAGTGTAAAAATCTAGAGGACTGGGAGATTTTTGCTCAGAATCCATACCGAGATTTTTAGAAAAGAAGATCAGGGAGTTGAAATGTTAAAATTTGAGATTAGTTTCAGTGCTTTAATAGAGAAAAGTAGATGAAGTTTTAATGTTGATTTTAATTGTCTTCAATTGTTTTAGGAAGTAGTTGAAATTAATATGTTTTAGTTAATTTTTGTTTAGGTTTACGAAACTAGATGAACCAGATTTTAAAATTTACAACATCATTTCGACTTGATTTCTATCTACCAAAGTACATACCGTTAATGAGAACCAAATTTAACTGCTACAGAACATTATCAAACTCAATTTCAGTCATGAACCGGAAGCACCTATGTTTGTCTAAGTCATGTATATTGACATGTCTATCTACCAGTGGCAAATATCAGAGAACATCTATATCTCGACAATAACATCAAAAACTTACCAGATATTGTTTGTGGCGAATGAATCTTCCTGGGGCTCCCTCTGTGATTCAAGAGAACATGTTTCAGAACCTGAAAAAAGACACAAGAATTCTGCACACCTGAAATGAGTACCAAAACTATGCCTAATTCATGTCTATTTCTATGTCTATCTCTGTTTCTTTAAACATCAAACAACATCATAATCTTTACAAAAATTTGGAACAAAGACACAACAAACCAACGGCCTGTTCTACACACGTGAAATGTCCTAAAATGAGTACCAAAACTATGTCTATCTCTGTTTCTTTAAACATCAAACAACATCATCATATCTACAAAAAAAGGAACAGAGACACAACAAACCAACATTTTCTACACATGTGAAATGTCCAACACACTAACCAAAACCCAGATTCAACTTATATGAACTCAACTACACCAAAAGCTTACCTGAAACTTCTTCTGTATGATGAATCTTGTTGTGGCTCCGCTTTGATTCACAAGAACAAACTTGAGAACCTGAAACACACACGAAACAGCATCCATCATTGTCGAAAGCCCTAAATCTAACCAACTCAACACACATGCATGCATGTTTTATAAACCATGAAAATACCGAAAGTTTCATGAAATTAACACGATTGAGGAGGAATATATCTTCGATGATGTTGTCTGATGAGACCTTCGCTTCGCCGACTCCGCGAACACAGCCACACACGCGAAGAAGAACAACAGATCTTCTCTCTCTACAGTGATTTTCTCTTGATTATGGTTCGATTTGGTTGGAAAAAATACAGAATTGAAAAGCAAAGAGAGAGAGAGAGAGAGAGAGAGAGAGAGAGAGAGAACGAAAAACGAGTGAAGAGACGCCTCTTCTGTAAGAGGATGGGACATTCGACTCTTCCCATTTTTTTCCTTGGACCTTTTTTTAATATATTATGGGCTTAAGAGCCCAAATTTTCTTGGCGTTAAAGATGGTCTAAGCTTGTTTGTCTTTAGGTCTTATTTTGTTGTAGTTCTCTTTCCTTTTGTTTGAGTATTGGCTTTAATATTTGGATTCGTTTAAAAAAAATTCAGTTGACAAAAAAAAGTATGAACATCAGAATTAAACAACACCAGGGTTTAAAAAAATGTTTATTTCTTCATCTTTCATAAGAGAGACAAACAAAAAAATAATTTTTTTATTACAGCTTCATTCCCACATATATCATCCTATCGAAAACAAATGTTGTATATTATACGCTTAGAATCCAAGTGTGACAGGTACATTAGCTTGTTGAATCCAGTAAACGGGACTTAACCAGTTAGCCACAGTGAACTGCTTAACTTCACCTGCAGTCCTAGCGATCTTAGCCCAGTTAACTCTCCTATTAGTGTTAGCTCCTGGTCCACGGTTGTTGTATTCAATGTACTTACATGACTTGTGGAAACTTGCACCCTCCCATATACTCCAACCTTCTGGTCTGATCAAATCACCGATCTCAGTGTTGATGACCACAGTGGTCGAGTATTTTTTCCATGGCCTTCCCAAGTATGACTCTACGGTAAACCTCTCTGCCGCTAGTTTCCTGTCCGGAACGATGCGGCAGTGTTGGAGGACGATACCGCTTTTAATGGCGAATCCTCTTTCGTTTCCGTCTGCTGTGATGGTATTGTACTGTCCTTTGTTTCCTTTACGAACGACGATGAGTGAGTTTTGGATAACGGTTGCTGATTTTCCGAAGATGAAATCTACTGTTCCTGAGATGACACAATTTCTGTAGAATTGACGACCATTGTTGACGTATAGTGTGTCTTGGTAGCCGTCGAATCTACAGTTGAAGAGGACAGAACGGTCTCCATTGACTCGGATGGCCACGGCTTGTTCCCCATTTGGACCGGCTGTGTTCTTGAATCCAATATATTTGGCGATGAATCCTTCAGATTCGACCTCTACAAGAATACATAACATAAGCAACATGAGTTTATTAGGACTATGTAGAGATTAATGAATGGTATATGGATCTAAAATTTGTAAGAATATAAACTCCCACACTAGGTGTTCCATTAAGGAACTTCGACCAATCTATTTATCGTTGGTTTTTAATAGCAATTAGTTAATAAGGGTGTGATGAGACTTACGGACTGTGCCACTAAGAGAAGTGGTGGTTCCAGGAGTGAGGCCAGCACTTCTGTTGTAAGTGATAACAGTCTTTCTTGCACCATCTCCGAACAGGAAGATATTGTTCTTGTTCTTAGGGATAATAACTTGCTCTCTGTAGATACCAGCCTTAATGTAGATGATGCATCGGCCAGGGTTTTTATCGGGACAAGCGTTAACAGCTTGTTGGACCGAGTTAAACTGTCCGCTTCCATCCTTGGCCACAACAAAGTTGGCTCTGATTCTAGTACCACCACCACGTCTTCGTCCACGTCCAGCATGAGCCATGAGCTTCCTGTCTGCACCTGAAACCCATTTTGGGACTCCGGTTTCGTCAATGTCTTCAAGGAGACGACGAGAAGGACCATCTGGGTCAGCCACGGGAGTATCAACAACAGGAGGAGTTTCTTTGTTGACGGGAGCTGCTCCTTTGTCGGAAGGAGAAAAGACTCCGCTTGTCATGTTCTTGAAATCATCAACCTTGACGTTAAGCTTGGCCATCTCGCTGACGACGGTGTGGAAGATATCGATAGCATTGCCAGTGAGAATCTTGGAGTTCGCAATGCCTTCTCCAATAGTCTTTCTCAAATCATCTTCTTTAATATCATCAAGACAATCGGTTTGGTAATTGTAGACACCGATTATCCATTGTTTTAGCTGGTCGATCTTGCTACCGATCTGGTTTAGATCTTCACCCATTTCCTCAAGTATAGTACCGAGATCCTCAAGGGCGTACATGAAAACTTTCTTGCAGTATTCAAGAACGGCCTTGTTGTTTGGTGAGATACTCGAACCCAAGTCTCCCTCGGTTTTACTCGTGAAATTTGATGATTTGGTTATAGCATCTTGTGTAGCAAGCAAGAAGGCCTTGATCAGCTTGTGTGGGTCATCGCTCTTGACTGGCTCAAGAGTCTTGACACATGAGGCTTGGTCAGTAGTCGCTTGGCAAATACCTTGAACGGCTTTCATCTGAGGAGACAAGGGAGTGTTGTCATTTTTATTAATGATAACAACGACTCCTATGGCTACTCCTACCAATAAGAGGACAGAGGCCACCGAGACAACAACTTTTCCAATCATTTTTAAATATTTATTATTTTATTATATATTTTTGATTATATTTTGGCTCCCTCCGGTTTATTTAGGGAGCGCTTTATTAGAGAAAAGCCAAGTTGTTTAATGACTTGGGGCAGCGAATATTGCAATGGGTTAGGGGGGTTTTATATAAGCGTTTTGTTTCTAAAAATAGAGATGCATGGATTTTGCATGGAGCGAGAGATTAACGGTCGACGAATGGCTGAAAATATCTTTTCAAAAAGCTTTAATTAGCTTACGAGCCTATCTAATTACCTATGAGGTTTAAAATTGGTCACCACAAGATAAAAGTGTTTTTCTACCAAAAAGGCTAAAGATGGTGTACGCTCCTGATCAATAGAGGTGTGGTGGCTTGACAGACTAAAAAAATATATAAATAATTAATCGATGTAAGTAAAAAGGATATATATATATATATATATATATGATAACTTTCGAGACTATGCAATTGCTTAGTTGTGAGTTTAAAAATTAGTCACCACAAGAGAAAATGGCGTACGCCTCTTAGTTAGAAGGTGTGATGGCGCCCTGATTGACTACAACTAAAAAATACATAGATGATAATGACTAATGAGTGCGGTAATTAACAACAAATAAGTGATATTGAGGGCCAGTCCTATAATATTACGAAGCTCTATCTATATGATCAAAGAAACAAAAATAATAATCGAAGGGCGCTTATATATGCATAAAACCCAAAAGTCTAGTTACGCATAACTTTTTAATGCGAAGAAATCTATATCTTATTGTTTAAAAGAACCAAAGCTTTACGTGTGTGTGATCGAGGCTAGCCCTGGTGATATTTGTTTCCTGCGCGCGGCTAGGGGCGAAGCCAGTAAAGGAGTTGTGGGTGCATGTGCACCCATAATTTTATCAATATTAACAATATTTGTATGTAAAAGTATAAGTTCCAGGTAGCTATTATGGTTAAAGTCTTCATGTGCACCCATAAACTTCCAAGGTTCGAGATACACTGTGCTACTTATTTTCCTTTTTATGAATTATGCACCCATTATAACAAAATCCGAGCTTCGCCCCTGCGCGCGGGGTTTTATATAATTTGTTACTCCTTGTCTCTGTGGTGTGTTTGTGTCTGGTTACTTCAATATGTTACATAGTACACAGCCTTTCAGGCTTTCACTAACAAGGTTATGGGAGAGTGGTGGCTTTATTTTTGGCTACTGCTAGGTTCACACCTATTCCTCTTTTTTTTTTTTTACAGGCTTGAGATGCTGCATTTGGAATGTGTAAGTTGTTATTTTAAATTGGGCCTCGTCAGAGCCGTGCGACCTTTTATAGATGCCCGAAACGAACAACAGAAAAATAAAATCATTTAAAAGAAATTCATCAAAATTAATAAATAGTATCATTGTTGACAAAAAATAGCATTGTTACATATCAAACAACTAAAAAACTAAATTTTCAAAATAGTTCTAAGATATAAAAAATTATATTCATCCTAGAAACGACATAATAAAAATATACAAAAAATCTTTTTAAATGGCCTTCATATTATTTTGTATTGATAATATAATCAAGTGACTCAATGTTTTTAATTGCTATATTCAAACGAACATAAATGCATTAGTATATTTTTTTAAAAAAAAATATACAAAAAATAGATCTACAGTTTGAGATAAAAATATATCATACTTAGAAGTGATAACAACCAAAATACGAGAAGACAATGCTGATAATTTGTAAACTTCTAGCTATGTAAAGCCTAATTATTATTTTTTAATTGTTTATTATTTATCACAAATAAACCAATTTGATTTAAAACAAACGAATATAAAAGTTTTATGGTAGAAGTACTAGCGGTGGCCAATAGTTCATGTTAGTTATTATATGTCCCACTTTAATCAAACTGATGTAAACAGCAGTATATATATAAAAGTAATAGTATGATGCTTAACCAATGCAAATATTATTATGACACAACTAAAAACTTGTTTTGATGCCTCATGAGAAAATGATGCCCTAAGCGAAAGTTTCTATTGTTATAGGCACGCACGGCACTGGGCCTCGTTTAAGTTAAATAGTTTTTTTTTTTTTTTTTTTTTGGTAAAATGTTAAATATTATACCAACTTTTCAAGTTTGTGACAGAAATTACAAAGGTAACTAGTAGCAGATTGCAGAATTTAAACTAAACATCGAAATCTAATGCGACAAAAGTATCAACCCGCAACAGGAGCAGAACCAAACCTAGAAACCAGCTAAGCAACGAAAACGAGCAAGGACCAAAGCAACCGGAGCTAGTCAAGGATGGGAGTCAGGCACCACGAGCTACCGAGAGAAAGGCGCCCTCAAACCTTGAAACAACGGCTCCTGCAGCTTCCAACTAATCTTCCCAAACCTAATCCGGACAAAGAATCCGAGCACAAACAAATCATAAACACTCGACAGCAATGACCTTTGACGGCACGAGAGAGAACCACCAGCGACGATGCCGTCGTTCGGAAGGGAAACATGGAGAATGCCGCCTCCAGCCCCACCTACCGTGACCGTCTACACCCATTTAACCGCAATCACATATAGAGAGAGTGGATCGCAAGAGACTAACCCTCCAAAGACCACACCACAAGAGAAATGACCGTTCGATTGTCTCATTACCGCACAGAACGTTGGACATGGTCAATACCACCAAAGGCGAGAATCACCACATCACTTACCTTATTAAAGAGAGGCAGACACAAGGGGAACCAGGACGAAGCGAGGAGACAACCTCCATAAAACACCGGAGCAATCGCTCACAATGGAGCAGAGAAACAAATAAGCTCGCCATTACACGTGCCGCCATTACACGTGCCGCCACACACGTGCCGCCACGTCCTACGTGCGTTGCCACCAGAACACGCCGGAAGAGGAGAGACCCACCTCCGAAGAGCTCACGCACGTTCGCCGGAGACCACCAGCAAGAATAGGGGAAGAAGCCCTAGATCCGCGAAATCACAGAGCTTACACGGCTCCGGCTCCAGGGACTCCACCGCTGCAACACCAAGCCGGAAGAGCACACCTGCAACAGATCCGAGCACCCACAACCACCACGCGCTACCACTCAAGCCTAAACACAACAACGACTAAAACAAAACCCATCCGGACAGAGCCTCAACTGACGACGAAGAAACAGAGCTATGGAGGAGCGGAGCACCGTCCTCAAGAGCTGCTACCTCCGAGATCTGACCTTGAAGCAATTTAGGCTCTAGATCTGAACCGGACAGAACCATGTTGCGTCAAGCAGCCGCAGAGAAACAGGGGAAGAGACAAAGAAGAGGACACAGAGAGGCTAACAGGAAAAATAAAAAGGAGAGAAAGCCCGGCGGTCGCCTTAGACGATGGCGGCGGCCGCCGGCAACGAAGAAGCTGAAAGAAAACCCTAGTTTTAGGAGAGAGGTGAGAGCAAAGTTTTAGGAGAGAGAAAAGAGTTAAATAGTTTTTGTTTATTCGATGTCCACTTTGTACCAGAAAAGCAAGTGTAAGCGTTATGAAAAAGAGGAAGCCGGCATGTGTAATTCTCATATGTTATCTCCCGCCAATCTAAACGATAACAACAATCCTCATCTTATGTAGTAATAACACTTCTTGCATTGGTCTTTTATGGTTGTCTTGTGTGTTACTTATTATACCGAATGCAAATCGTGTGTATTTCCATCAAGGTGTTTGTTCTCCTCCCAGAGTCCCAGCTAAGTCTAGCCAAATAAGCGCTCCTTTGGAAGGCTGTAGAGTTATATTTGCTCACTCGTGTAAAGTTGTGGCTGCATTCCGAAGGTGATGCAGCCCACAGAACCGGGTATGTGGGAATTGGAATGAAATATTCCAATGGTCTCACTTTAAGGAGCCTTCATTTCTAAAAAGAATAACTATATATGTATATACATGTATTTCTATATAATGATGTATAAGAATAGCAAAATATAAAATAAAAGAGTTAATTAAAATAATTTGTATATAAAATGTTAAATAAAATATTAGGAGAATCTCATATTGTTATAGAATAGATATAAATAATCTGTATACTTTGAAAATTTTGATTTTAAAATAAAGATTTATATTCGTTATATTCATGAAAGAGAAATTCTCTCAAATAAACATTATTAAGTTTTTATTATAAAAATAGATCTCAAAAACTAAATTGACCAAAATAACATTTTTTATTTTGAAAATTTTAAGTTTTTTTTTTTTTTTAATTTGAAATCATACCCCCTAAACTCCACTCTTCAACTCTAAACAAAAAAAAGTCTAGGATTAGTTATCCCAAGAGATATAAATGTATATTTACTTATTTTTTATAGAACACTTAAGTCTATTTTGATCATTTTTATTTTTAAGGTATATATTTGTGACAAAAACATTTTTAGGTTTATCCTAGAGAATTTCTCTTCATGAAAAGTGTAATTGTTTTTCTAGTAGGGTTTCTAAAATCTCGACTCCTTCCCTGAGTCCCTCAAGATGTTTTGTACAGAAAATACTCGTATATGCCTACAGTGTAGTGAGCTCCGTGTTTGTTGTGGATGAGGCATGATATGTGCTCAAATTACCAAAAGATACTGATTACTCTCTCAAATAAGAGATTCAGCCGTAGTACTTAGTGATTGAATCCTCAAAGAGCGAGAACACACAATAAATTTGATATTCAATTCAGTTATGTTAGGCAATTTATATAGATCTTAGACCAAGTAAATATGGAAATTATTGGGTATAAAGAAAATAACTAGATCTAAGATTTTCAGGTAGTGAATTATAATGGATATAGAGCTAAGGAGTTTTCAGTCATATAACACGTACTTAATTGGTAAAGATATAGTTATTTATATCTATCTATCTATCTATCACTAAGCCCCGAGTATATAACTTCCGTATGCAGAATCAGATTGATCGTCGATTGATAGTATGTAAACGACATCTGTTGATGGCTTTCTTGGTCAATCATTAATTCAACCAAATTTAGTTAATCACCTAGAACCACTAAAACAACTCTCATATGTATCTAGTATTCAAAGCTCATAAGAGATTATACAGGTATTGATCAAACAATCACACAATTCTCAATATCCTAGTTCATAGTTCTAAGTAGCTAATCTAGATAACAAGCATTAAAAATCTACTAATGATAGATCTAATTATCACCCTAACAATTATATTGTTTGGCGAATCCACCAAAACCTTTAATAAACCCTAAATCTAATAAGGTGACTACTCAGACATATTCAAGCAATACATAATCATAACCATAGAATATTACATTAAATAAAGAGTAGGATAAAAACTAGGTTCCAATACAAAGCTCTGAAGAAGTCTTGATATTCTCCCCAAAACCTTAAGCTACTAAATTAGTTTCCGAAAATATGAAAAAGTTAAAAAAAGAGCGGTTATTTTTATAAAACATCAGCAAATACCATATAAACTAGGTAATTTTGTAAATAGTTGTGTTTTGGGCTTCAAGTCGGCTGCTTTTCGGATTGAGTTTCCGCGCATCGACCGTTGCTAGATGACAAGGGTGCATCATCGATCAATGTTAATGCTCTGTTCGGCTTTGTATTATGCTGAATTTGACCAGCTACGGGATTCTTCTCTCTTTAAGCTCTAGAAAGCCTAATAATCTCCACATTGTTCCAAAACACACATGTACATGTAAAGACTAAAACATATTTTAGACACACTAACAGATTCCAAATAGAGCCTATAACATAGTCTAGAAGTGGTAAATATAGGAACCGATCAAAATAGAAAACAATACTAGTAAACCGCCCTCAGACTAAAACAATACTGTCCACAGTGTTCTCACGTCTTGGTTAGGTGGGAAAATAAAAGCATAAATAAAAGTATGAAGGAAAGTCAAAAATACCAGACTCTATTAGAGTTGTTGATCGATGGTGAGCTGATGACGTCAACTGATGGTGGTTCTCCATCATCAACCGATGGTTGTTCTCAAACTTCTTTTTTTAATTGTAACAAATAAAAACACAAAATTAAGTAAAATCACGAAATTGAGTAGTTTGCCTCCCACTCAGTGGTTAGTTATAGTCTTTAGCTTGGCGTTGGGACTTTTTAGACTAAGACGGGGGTAAACCACCACTTGATGGTAAACAACTGTCCACATCCTCTATGTTAACCATGTACTGACGAATCTTCTTATTGCTTTTTCCCCTATGGTTTGCTATACATCTCGTGTGAGCTCAATGTGAGTGATTTATCCTCAAGGCCCTCAATACATTGATTCAACCAACGGATCCTAGTATATGTGGGTATGGGCACATCGTCCATTCTTTTGTTGACATCCTTCAGGATCATGTTCAAAGCTATATAGACTTCATCCAGCCTATCATCCAACAACTCCATGGTTACTAGTCTTTGTCGGATTGGTTTCCAGGTAGCATCGATTGATGGTCACTGTCGGCTATCGATCGATGGTCCTTTGTCAGCTTTTCTATGTTGTTGTTTCTGAACCATACCAATAGTTGAGTCCATCTTTTCATTTATCTCCTCCATCCACGAAGTTAACCTTCCAATACTGTTGTTGAAGGGATAGTAGACATCATCAATCCTCTTGTGATAATCCTTTGTCATATACTCATGGGCTCTGTATATGCTGGTGACCTTATCATCCACCTCTATTGTATTGTAGCAATCAACTAAGGGCCTGGTATACTGAAAACGTTTTGCAGGTAAGCGCAGATAGTTGTAACCAATCACTACAGCTCTCTGGAGAGTCTTTCTTATGTCTTCCTTTGACACATTGATATTCCACAATCCATATCTCGTGCATTGCCATATTTATCTCTGAAGGTTCCATACTCATCTCGGGATTTCCAGCAAAATTGTCTCCTAAGTGGATTTGTATAGAGTTTGTCCAGGTTAGCATCGATCAATGGTAGAGGACCAGCGTCGATCAATGTTGCATTCCAGGTTTCATACGACCCTCTGCAGCATCCTATAGGGCAAGAGCATTGTATTTGATTTCTTCTTGTTCTAGATAAAACTCGTCGTACTCAGGATTAGCCGCATCATACCCTAGGTCAGACTAGTGTCGATCGATGTCGAAGGGTCGGTATTCATCAGCCTGGTTTTGTTGTCGTCGATTGATGTCTTGGGCTGGGTATCGATCGATGCTCCATCGGCAGAGTCATCCTCTTGCTCGAAAGCAGAAACATGTAGCCACAAGTCATGGTTCATGAACCAAATCAATGAAAACAATCATGTTTCTAGTATGAATAGGCTCATAGTACTGAGTTTGATCAATGAGAGATAAATAATGCTTGTTTGTTAGCATGTCGCATACTGCTCTTACAGTGGTCATGAAAGCTCTTCCAAGTAGCAGGGATGAACTCTTCTCCACTTTGACGTCCAAGATATGAAAGTCTATAGGGAGTAGGGCATTGCATATTTGCACTTGGAGATCCTTTACTATATACCTCTTGAATTTATCATAGTGTAATCCACAAAAGTTAATGAATCACTAGAAGACTCCACCTATAAGCTTACCACCTCTGCCATGGCCCTTGGCATAATGCTTACTGAAGAACCAGTATCGCAGAACGCATGTGGGTAGTAATCTCCCTTGATGTTGCAGGGAACCACAAACTTTCCAAGGTCACTTCTATTTTTCAACTAGACCGTCTGCTTTTTCTTCTCCCTCAGAACATTGAACATGTCCTAAATGTCCTTATCAGTTTCTTTAATTTCTCTGAAGAACATCCATAGTCTAAGTCTGCTTTTTCTTCTCCCTCAGAACATTGAACATGTCCTAAATGTCCTTATCAATTTCTTTAATTTCTCTGAAGAACATCCATAGTCTATAGGTGTAGTAAGCTTCCTCAAATGGGTTTTCTAAAGGGATCGTAAGGACTTTCTTAATAAAGTTATCCATCTCTTTCTCATTAACTCCTCTTCTAAGATGCTTAGAGACCTTCTTCTTCCTAGTATGGGTTTTCACCACAACTTCATCTATTATGATAGGGTATGGTTCATCTATCTGTATGGGTTTGGGTGGGATGGTAGTCGGATGTCTATTGGCATAAAGAAGATTTTTGTATATTCTTGGCAGCATACACTTTTCGTTTTGAATGGCCATTGATCGATGGTAGGTTCCATCTGTCGATCGATGTTCATCGCATCGCATGAACCTTCGGATTAATCAGGTATCCTCTACCAATGGGCCACTCTAGCCGTCGATCGATGATCGTTTGAACAATGTGAGGTATTTTCACGAGTTTCTTCAATTTGGTGCCTAATTTTTCCACCACTTGCCAAACAAAATCATCACCCACAATGGCATTGACGTGATACCTCTGTCCAGCCTCAGTCTTATCCTTAATTAAGGTAATATGTCTTTTCACAGCCTCACTGGTCTAAATAACCCGATTCTCTAACTTCTTCAGATGGGTGATGAGGGTTTCAAACTTGGTATTGAGGTTGACATATCAATGTTCCCATTGAAATTCACTGTCATTTCCTGTTGTCCCTACAGCACCTTGTCAATCATGGCTTCAATTTTACTTTCTTGGGTGGCTTGTGGAATATTCTGATAGGAGGAAGATCCATAGGTTCTGTTTTTGCTGTAGGATCGCTGCTGTTGTGAATCTTGGTTGTAGTTACCTCTCTAACCAATGCCATAGGAGTTCATGTTACTCTGATTCCAATATCGCTGGAATCAATTCCCAACAAATTACAAATCTTCTTTTTCATAATTGTTAGATCTTATAGCTTCCATATCTTCTGCAAAACTGACTTACCTCTTAAAAAACTTCTAAACACTCTCCAACTTGGCTTTTACCTCTTCCATCTGATCATTGGTCAGTGTAGGGGCCGATTTCTTCCTTTCAAAATCGTTGTTCCTGGTGCTTTTGCTACTGCCAAGTTCTATATCAATCTGATGACTTCCTCTGGGCTCTTAGTGCAGAAATTTCCATCACTGGTTGTGTCTAAAGGCCGCTGATATGATAAATCAAATACTTAGAAGTTTCACTTCATTGAATCCATGGACAGTCTCTTTGGTAGGAGTTGAATCTGATTCATGACTTTTTGAAAGATTCTGAAGGCTCATGTGTAAATGTAGCAATTCTACTTGTAAATTCTTCACCTATGACATCATCAAAGAAGTTACGCATGAAGGCGTTTTTGATGTCAGTCCATGATGTAAGAGATCCTAGTGGTAGCTGCTTAAGCTAATATGAAGCTTCTACAGCAAGTGTTTACTTGAAGAGCTTGCATAAAAGATAGTCTATGGGGACTCCATTTGCCTTGATGGCAGGCACAAGATCCTCAAATCGTTCCAAGTGATCTATAGGGTGCTCATGTGAGAGACCATGATATGATGTTTCTATCACCATTGTGAAATAGACTAGCTTCAATTCATAATTGTTCCTCTGGAAAATGGTGGACGTTGGCATATAACTGATCTGGATGGTTGTAGTCAGACAATATTTTGCGTTGAGCAGCCTGGGCCTCAGCTCCAGCTGGAATTACAACAACTTCTACTTCAGCTACTTCTGGTTCAGGGATTACATCATTTCTGACCTGCGGCATTACGCCGATGACCCTCGAGGTCATACAGGTATCATCTCTCATTCTTAGTTACGATAAAGATATAAACCTTGTATGATCGAGAATCAACGTCGATCGATGGTACTTGGTTATAGTCTTTAACTTGACATTAGGACTTTTTAGACTAAGACGTGGGTACAGCACCACTTGTTAGGAAAAAAGTGTCCACATCCTTTATGTTCATCTGGAACAATGTACTGACGAAGCTTCTTATTGCTTCTTCACCTATGTTTGTATACATCTCGTGTGAGCTCAATATGAGTGATCATGTCCTCAAGGCGATCAATACATTGATTCAACCGACGGATTCTAGTATATGTGGGTATGGGCACATCGTCCAATCTTTTGATGATATCCTTCAACATCATGTTCAAAGCTATATAGACTTTATCCAACCTATCATCCAACAACTCCATGGTTACTAATCTTTGTCGGATTGGTTTCCAGGTAGCATTGCTTGATGGTCAATGTTGGCTATCGATCGATGGTCCTTAGTCAGCTTCTCTATGTTTTTTTTCTGAACCATATCAATAGTTGAGTCCATCTTTTTCTGCATCTCCTCCATCCACGAAGTTAACCTTCCAATAGTGTTGTTGAAAGGATAGTAGACATCATCAGTCCTCTTGTGATAATCCTTTGTCATATACTCTTGGGCTCTTTAAATGTGGTGACCATATAATCCACCTTTGTTGTACTGTAGCAATCAACTGATAGCCTAATATACTGAAAAATTTCTGTAGGTAAGCGCAGATAGTTGTAACCAATCACTACAGCTCTTTGCAGAATCTTTCTTTCGTCTTCCTTTGACACATTGATGATTCCACCATCTATATCTCGTGCATTCCCATCTTCATCTCTGAAGATCCCATACTCATCCCTGGATTCCCAATGAAATCGTCTCCTAAGTGGATCTGTATAGGGTTCGTTCAGGTTAGCGTCAATCGGTGGTTGAGGACCAGTGTCGATCGATGGTAGAGGATCAGTGTCGATCAATGTTGAATTCCAGGTTTCACCAGATCCTTTGATATCTGCAGCTTCCTCTAGTGCAAAAGCATAGTATTCGATTTCTTATTGTTCTAGATAAAACTCGTCGTACTCAGGATTAGCCGCTTCATGCCCTAGGTCAGGATTAGCGTCGATTGATGTCGAGGGATGGGTATAGATCAGCCGTTTTTTTTTCTGTTGATCAATTTCTTGGACTGGGTATTGATCGATGCTCCATCATCAGGGTCATCCTCATGCTTATTTTTTTATTATAAAAATATTTTTTATTTTATTAAATATATATAAATTAATTATGAATAATTATTTATTTAAGTTTTATATATTCTAAATGCCAATACTCTCTCAAAAGTTTCATATTAGAGCATTGAGTAAATAGCATTTGGAGAGCATTAGAGCACATCCATCCATTAGGACCTCTAATGGGTTCTAAAAATTTAATCTATACTATTAAAGCAGAATCCCTCATAGGATTCTGCCCTTAGTTTTTTAGATATTAACAATGGTATGCCACTACCATAAATAATAAAATCAATTATTTCAATATTAGTTACCATGTATTCCAACTGGTTCGGTAATTCTCTGAATAATATGGATATTTTCAAGATATTCTAAAAATGACCAAAAGGGCATAATTATAACAAATTGGATCTCACATGATCTTCTCTTTTTATTCTTCGACGTACTCGCGAGTTAGCACCATGAACTCAACACAAACACTTTACTCCAGCCGAATACTTTAATATTTTACAAAATTTCAGTTTGGGGCTACTTTAATGGTCTACACTTTGGGACTACTTTAATACATCATAATTTTGAATAAGGTATTAATTTTTATATGGTAACAATATATCATGATAAAAACATTTTTTCAAAAGAACATACATTTTATTGCTATAAAAACTTTTTCAAAAAAATAAATAAATAGCATATCAAAAATTAGTAATGATCAATAAACTAAATGATAGTAATTCTAAGTAGTGATAAAAATCATATATTTACATATAAATATATAAAAATGATATCAAACAAGGGTCAGACCATTTACTTAACTAATCGAAAATGAGTAATAGAATAGATGTTTGACGGAAAAAAAAAACTAATCGAAATTGAGCTTTACAATTTTATTAATTCACAAGCTCAAATACAATTAAAATAATTTATTAATAAAGCCAATAATAGTTATTCCATAAATATAAGAAAATAAAAAATATGAAACTTATAACATTTACAATAACATATTATTTATTTTAAAAGTTAAATTAAATTTCAAATTAAAAAATTCCCGCGCCGGTCAAAATCTAGTTAGTGGTTTATAAGATGATTTGATTAGTTAAGAACCTTAGTTAGTGGAAATTATTTTTTTTGGAAATTATATTTTTCCCCTCCAATGGGAGAACCTCTCATAGGGATTCTTAATTTTTTTTTTAATAAAATGATTTAAAATAAAAACATACATACAATTTTTATTAAAAATGACATAAAACATAATAAAAATACAAATACATTTCATAATCGTATCCTATGTTCTGTCTCATTGGCTACAATACTATGATCATGTAACCTAACTCATCGGAAACATACCAGTGACGTGTAAACAAACATCGTGGCTAGAGAGTTGACAATGTGTTTCTGAGAAGATGGTGGTGGCTTCTGTTTGTATTAGCGCATGAATTCCCGAGACCCAAGAGTCCTGGACATTACTTTGTTCTCCCCTCTCTTGTTGATCACAAGCTCCACGGTATTAGCTGATTCACCAGCTACCACCATCTGGTGAAAGGTGGCACAGTTCATTGAAGTACAGACAAATGAAGTCCCTCTTCACCTGTAAGAGAAACAATGTAAGGAGTTAAAAAAAACAAAGATCTTTAGGCTGAAGTGATGAGACAGAACAACAGCAACTTTAGTCAAAATTAGTCATAGAACTAGTAGCAATACTTACCTTTGCAAACGTGTGACTAGAGTACATAACAACAACAACTTTAGTCAGACCAAGTACTATACTCGTCACTACAACATAGACAAACCGAGACTGCAAGAAACCACACTGAAACTAAGCATATTGTTATTTACAGCACACATATACATTAGTCAAAATTCAGAAAGAGATATGCTTAAACAAATGTGGACCTTTATGAGTTGTGAGATCAATCCAAGCACAAGATGAGGCTGCAAGAAAATCATTCAGTGATCACAATCTTCTCTAACAGTCTAAACATCATATCTAGCAAGATTAAATATATTTGCAAACAAATAAACATTATCTTACTTATCATCAAATCCAAAAACCACATCGAACGAGATTCAAAAAACTAACACTGAAAAACGACGAGATCATCGGAGTTACCTTGAATTGAGAGAACAAATCTCGACTTCTGTGAGCTGGCTTTGTAGCGATTCCTCACTCTCCTAACCATCACAAGTTATGATTCACAACCATCCTCTTCACTTCTAGACTCCTCGGCCAACAATCCCATCCTCGCCCCATTCATCTCCCCTTCCTTATCCTCCTCCTCCTTCTCCTCCGCACTCGCCTCCGGATCCCCCGCTTCCAACGCCGAGCGTCTCCCCAAGCGATTCGTCTCCTCGACACGATGTCATCACTCGCCACCTGGAACTCCTCTCTCAGTTCTCTTCCCTCTTCCAAGCCGAGATCTCTCTCCACCTTTGTAGCGATCCGAAACGATTACTCCCATGCCAGACATCAACCTCTCTGTAAAGGAGGAGATGGCGATCAGAAGCAAGAGAAGATAGAGTGATTGGGACTGGAGGAAGAAGAGAAATTGATTCCGTGAATTTCATAGATGAGGAGAGAGACAGTGAAACCTCTTGATTTATTTCTTTTGGTCAAAGGGACACGTAGATAGGGGTGAGGGCAAGGTGGCTTACTATTTTGCACGTACTTCGACTTAACTTGTCTTATACAAATAATAAATTATTGACTTGTATTTGACTTGTTTAAAACAAGTACTTGCTATTTTAAATACTTGATCAAAAGTATAATAACTTGCAAGTTACTTGTCTTACTCTATTACTTACTATTTAAGAAAACTTGTGAACTATTTACGAGTTTTTCGGAATATTTAAGAACTATTAACTAAGTAATATTCTGTTACAAATACATATAGAAAGTTTATTTTGTTTATTCTACTTAAAGTAACATGTAAATTACTTTAAACAGAATATTTTTTCATATTATAAGAAAGATAAATTAAAAAATGCATATTACGGTATATAAACATTGTATAATGATCACGATAACAAGAATGTCTTCTCTAAATAAGTAAAATGTAATAACAAATCATATAACTAAATTTTTAATATTTGTTGCTATGTACTACTTGACTAGATAACAATGAGTATTCAAAAATCAAGATTGGATACGAAATAAGTAACAAATAAAAGAAGAGTAATGAGTATTTATGTCCAATTCTAAATGCAAGTAAAAGAAAACACAAATATGAAAAACTAAGTAATAGATCTTGTAACAAATATCAAGTAATAGAACACGTAACGGGGCGGAACGAGTCAATTACAAAAAATAATAATGATACTTGATACTTGACTTAGTCTTATAAGTAATGAAAATTGTCGTCTTGTTACTTACCTTGACAACACCGAGTACAATTTTCAAGACGGGTACGAATCAAATACAGAGTTTAAGGCGAGTAACAAGTAATGATGCCCAATCCTACACGTAGGGGTTTTAAGCAATTCTAAAAATCCCATATAAACAATTGGTTCTATGCTTTTGGATCATTTTTTCTTTTTTTTTTTCTTTTTGTTTTAGAACTTCCCTTTGTTACTTTTGGTGGAGGTGGTCTTAGCATTTGGTAAATATTTTTCTAAATATTTCTTTAGTATATTTTGACTGAATAATAAAAAACATAATGCTTATGTTAATACTTTGTCAATCAAACCTTTAGTCTAAATTTTAGATTCGATTATTCTACTCTTTCGTGTTTTGGTAATTGCTGTCAAAAATTCAAAACTAGTACTCCCTCCGTTTCATATTAAGTGTCGTTGTAGAGAATTTTTTGCGTTACAAAATAAGTGTCGTTTTCGGTTTTCAATGCAAAATTTATTAATTTTATTGTGTAATTTGTTTTTCTATTGGTTAAAATATGGTTAGGTGTATGGGTAACTGTGCTTTTATATAGGAAATATGTAAAATTAATTGTTTTCTTAATCCGTGTGCATAGCTGTAGAGTGACACTTATAATGAAACAGAGGGAGTATAATATTTAACACTTTACCAAAAAGATAATTTATAAACATTGATTGTCAGACGTTAATAATCGTATATAGATTCTCTAAGTCAACATGTTGAAAAACGTTTGGCAACCGTGTCCTAATCGACCTATTATTGGTAGAATGTCTATATTTTTTAAGCATTTATCTCCTTTATGACGGTTCGAGTTTTAAAATTCTTGATTGTGTATTATTAATGGTAGTTTAGTTTCTAGCTCGAGGTTGGTAGCAGAGGCGGATGTAGTTAGGGATGGGCACATATGAGTATTTGATATTTTTGCTATACTTGGTATCCGATTTGGATTGTATGAGTATTCAAATTTTGGATTTGTGTTTATTAAAAATAAGTACTTGCAGTTTTAAGTACTTGCAAAAAATTGATAGACTTGCAAGTTACTTACCTTATTTTATTACTTGTTATTTGTAAAAAAATTACAAATTACTTGATAACTATTGGTAAATTATTTGATAATTAGTTAAAACTTAAAGATAAATAAATTTGTTATATATAAATACTATGTCATTTTTTCATTGTTTTCTAGTTTTTAATCATTCGTGAAATAAATTATATAATATGTCATTGTTTTCATTTTGTCATTGTTTTTATAGTTTTTAATCATCCGTGACATTGTTTTCATTTTGTCATTGTTTTCTAGTTTTTAATCATTCGTGAAATAGATTAAATAATATGTCATTGTTTTCATTTTGTCATTGTTTTCCTAGTTTTTAATCATTCGTGAAATAGATTATATTAAGAAAGAAAAAATTCGAAAATGTTTATATAAATATGTCACATGTGTTTGATTCACTTATAAAAAATTGAAATATAAACGAGTTATTTTACTATGATTTAGGAAAATATATATTTGTTCATTAACAAAAACGAATAATAAACCAAACAACGCTGAATAATTAGTTTTATTTTATTATTTTGTATATGAAAGCAGTTTAAATAGACTACTTGATACACGTCTTAGTCAAAACAAGTATTCGAGTTTAAGAATCGTGTACCAACCAAGTAGTGAACATGAGGCAAGTAACAAGTAATTATGACCACTCATAAAATACATAAAATTTAATTAATTAATGAAATATAGACTAAGTATTTAATAAATCAAGTAACAAGTAAATGATAACAAGTAATTAACCAAGTAAGAAACCAAATAGTTAAAAATAAAAATGAACTTGATACTTGACTTGTACTTGCAAATAATAAAATCTGTTTATTTGTACTCGATTTGATTGGAGCAAGTACTTATTTTTTTAAACCAAACCGAGATAAGTAGCGAGAACAAGCCGAATATCAAGTATTTGTGTTCAGGTATATAGGGGGTCACATAACATCCTTAAAATAATAAAATAAACTAAATTGTGTAAAATCAATAAGCATCTGCTAGCAAAATTGGTTATTTAGAACCCATTGACACCCCTTAATCCACAGTTCAGTTCCCAAATGACACCTTTTGATAATAATTTTTATCTATTTGTAAAAGTGACCCCGGTAAAATAAATTTATAGATCCGTCTGGTAGTTAAGTTGTTAGAGTGATAGTAAAACATTTAGGTAACTAATGATATGTTTAATTGTTTATATATAAGCTACTTTAGAATCTGGTTAATTAATTGTTTAGACAGGTTTTTTCCTGTATTTTTCTCGTTCAAGCTTTATTTTTTTCCTAAGGACTCCCCTAAGGATTCCCCATTGCACATGCTCTTATGTAGACACTTGGTGTGCGTGCAGTATTATCATAGAAGATGAACTTTTCTAAGTTTTATTTTTCTGTGTGTATATTTCAGTACTATTAAATTAACAACATGTCCTATTGACAAATCTCAGTTTAAAAAAAAAAAACATGTCCTATTGATGGTTGTTAGATCCAATTAAAAAAAAAAACTAGAGTTTCACCCGCACATTCGTGTGGGTATATTTTTTATTTTATAAATATATAACTAAAAATTTTAAATATATGATTTATATTTTAGCTTTAACTATAATTATATATAATAAGTAAATAAAGAAATACTTATTTTATAAAAACAATATTTAACTTTTGGTAAGATCTTGTTAGATTTTTTCAACAGATTTTGTTGTATTTAAATTCATTTATTATTAATATATTTGTTAATTATTAAGATATTTTTAAAATAATATATATTTGACTGGTTAATGTAACAATCAAAATATGTCAAATTAAATAATAAATGACATGGTCCAATATGACTTCTAAATAGTAGATAAATTTGGTACTTCTCTTTTAATAGAGAAGATACTCGATATCTAAACTGCTTATATGACTCTAAATTATACATATAACTGCTTATATTGGCATATCCTACTTTTAAGGTCTATTTGATCTAAAACCTTTTAAATAATACGTGAACAAAAATAACAGTTCCATAGCCACTAATGTCCTATTTTTAAGGACTATAAAACTATAAAACTCCTTTTCAAATAAACGATATCTATCCTACTAATATCCTAGTAAATGGAATAAGCCCTTTTGAATTATAGTGGATCAAATTTAACAAAATCCATTCATCAATTTCTGAAAAATTAATGTGTAACTATAACATTATTATAATTATATATGAAATCAAATAATGAAAACTTAATGAAAAATTTATAATTTTATTTATTTAATTACCATGAGAATATAATAAATGTAGCTATACTTTGTTATTTAAAAAAAAAATCATTAATAACTATTTACAAATAAATTACAAAATAAATTTGTGAAATGACTATAGCACATATATAGTTATCCAACATCTTAAATTCAATCAAATTATCAAAACCTCATATTAGAGAGTGACTAAAAATTTTAAACCCAAATATAATTACAAAAAATACCCAATATCTTTATAAACAAAAAGATAAAAATATGAAAATAAAATTTCTAAAAAAAAGGTAAAACAAATAATATACCCGCCCTTGAAATCTAGTACATACATAAAGAAATATACCAAACACATTACTAATTAATTTTATTACTAGAAAAATATAATCACATATTTTTCCATATCCTTTCCAACCAGGAGGTCCATACATGATTATCATCCATAACATATTAATTACAAATATACATCAAAAATATCTGAAAACAATCGAGGTTCCAGGCACATTTTTCTTTGTTTTCATATATGTATAAGATTATATATGTTAATAAATAAATCAATGGTAGTAAAACGACAAAGGTGGTGGGAGCAACGAATCGGTATCTTTCTGGTTAAGTTTGGTCTTAATGTTTAAAGTGTTGAAGACTTTATCCATTCCAGAGAACACATCCACTGACTCACCACTCATTCTTTTCCCAAGCCCAATCCCTCCTTGAACCTCTTTCAACAACGTTTTGTCGTAAATGTCATCAAGACAAGTCGAGTGGTACGTGAAGATCGAAGTCATCTTACTCTTGCATGTGAAGTAATTATCAGCCATGCTGGTTAGGTTTTTTCCTGCGGCTTTCCAGAAATCTGCAAAGTCTTCCAAGGCGTTGTTTAACTGTTTTTCGCAACCGGTGATGCAGTTTGTGGCGAAGGCGTTTCCTTTGTACTTAGGTTTGATTCCGGAGAGAAAGTTCAAGCCCTTTTTAACGGAGGATTCTGCTGCTGTGGCTAAGTAGCGGACCAAGAAGGCAGGGTCATTGCTTGGGACGGTTTTCAAGGTTATGCTACAAAGATTTTTGTCTTCGACAACGCTGCAGATTCCTGCTACGGTTTTTTCATGTTCTGGGGTAACGTCGGCACGTTTGGCTGGGACTACGAATGCGGTTGCGGTTAGGGCGATGCAGAGAATGAGGAAGGTGAGTTTTATTGGAGTGTTCATTTTATTTTCCTTTTGTTTTTTTTTTAATTGGACGTGGATTGGAAAGGACTAAGATAGAAAAAAGGAAGAAACAGGTTTACGCATGTAGATATATACGGGTTTGCTATTTATGGATTTTTTTCTTGTTGTCCAAAAAGATGTTTTTTTTTGTTATTGATTTTTGACTATTTTGCAAAGATAAACAGGATGGTAACGAGTGAATTGTGGCGGTTTTATCTGTGGACATGCCATAAGAGCATCTCAAATAGTGTTACTATCACTGAAGTTTTTAAGTATTATTAAACCATTTTTTTTAAAAAAATAATTGTTTGAATAGTTAAAGACTCCAATTAAAAAAGTTAGTCCAGTGGTGTACTTCATTATAGAGTACTTAGAAAAAATAAAGCTTGATGCTATGACTACAAAAGTTCTTATGTAGAAGTTAGTCCAAAGGTTTTTGTGTAGAAGTTTAATCTAAGATTTGACAGAGTTTAGTTACCGAGTCATCATCAAGTCTTTTTGCAATTTTCTCAACATACTCCAGCATTTGGTAGTCGGGAACAACCATGAAAATGATCTCATCTTCTTTCTCCACTGTTTTACTGTCACTTAAGCTGCATCACAAGACAGAACATGATTCCATATACCCTTTCACTTGCACTTATAAGACTATCAAGCTCTCAAGATGAAGCAAAGTTACCTAGCAAATCCAAAACTGCATCTTTCCACTTATATTTTAGCAACGCAGCAGCTCTACTAGCCCTTACAACTGCTCTTGTTCCTCCAGAGGTCACAAACGAAGCACTTGTTTCACCTGATTGCCTAACAGCTCCCACCAAATCATTAGGCAAACAACTGAAAAAATTATAACAAATCTGTGAGTAGTTCTCTTATTTATTACATACTTGCTCCAATCATTCACTTGCAAAAAGACATCATTTTCAAACCATATGTTCCCTTGTGATTCCAATAGACACATATAAACATACAGAAACAGAGCAAAGTGACAACACACCAAATTTTAAACCATATGTTCCCTTGTTTTTCCAATAGACACACAAAAACTGACGAAAATGACAAACTTGGAAGGCAGAGCACACACCAATCTTAATACGATCTAAAAGCAGAGCACACACCAATCTCTATACGATCTAAAAGCAGAGCATACACACCAAATTTCCCTCACCTGTACGTTGCACATTTCTCCAACACTGAGTTTGAAGATATCTTCCCCACTTGCTTTAAGTGTCCGACGAAGATCACCATCTGTAAACGTACCAATCAAACGATGACATTCATCAACCACAAGCAAACACCCACACCCTTTGCTAGTCAGCTCCACCAACTGATCCATAATGAAGTCTCCTTCTTTACTAACCGGAAGCTCATCTTTCTTCTTCATAACATCCTTAACCTACACAACAAATATCCATCCAATCACAAATCCAGACTCCAAAAACCTTACAAAATTCTCAACTTTGAGACCAAACCTTAAAAATCAAACTCTAAAACCTTATAAAGTTCTCAACTTTATGATCAAACCTTAAAAATTCAAACTCTAAAACCTTATAAAGTTCTCAACTTTGAGAAGACCAAACCTGAAATACAAACTCTTCCCAATCCTTCCCGCAGGATGATTAGCTCCATACTCCTCCTTGGTCAGATTCCTCGCCGCCATCAACGCAACGGCGATCGTATCCCCAAACACAATTTGAATCGCCGTGGAAGTCACCGGAGCGAGATCAAACGGACACAGCTCCCTCTCCAGCGGCAAATGCACGTTCATATCGCAAACTCCAGCGAGGGGATTCTTGGGAACGAAGGTGACAGAGGCGAGGAAGGTTCCTCTGGCTTTAGCGCAGGGGACGAGGCAGAGAAGCTCCTCGGTGGCGCCAGATTTGCTGAAGAGGACGAGGACGTCGGAGGAAAAGAGGGAGGCGATGACGCCACGTCACTAAGGACTCGATCTGTAAACACCTTAATTGCGGACTGATCCTTACCAATTTCATCTGTGTTTATATTTTTTATTCAAATTCCCTAGGTCAACGTGTTAAGGACTCAATTATCGGCCCAATCGTTTCGACCCAGGAAGCCCACTAAATTTACAGGAAATCCAAGGTGGGTTGTTATTTAAATAGTTCTAGCTTCACTATTTCATTTAGAAAAATCCTAAACGTCGAAACTCTGCAAAAACTGAGCCGACAAGGAGAACTAAGATAGTCCAGCCTCCACCACTGCTTTCACTGTTGAGATTGCTGAGTGAACCGTCGTTAATCGTTGCAGATAACTGGAAACCACCGCGTATGTAAAATTTAGCTGTTGCCGTCTAGTAATTCGAATATAACTCTCTAACCATGTTGAGTTTTGTGATTCTAAGGCCACCATCGTGTTCGTGACGTCGAGACGAGTCTGGAGCATGAAGCCCAGCGAGAAATCCACCACCACGTGTATACACGCGTGGTTTGAAGTTTCCCACGTAAATCCCACGAGCCATCGCAACTCACTGCAGATCCCGCGTATGTGGTCCACGCGCCGCCGTTTCCAACTGGCATTAACCAGAGCCGCCGTCTCTGACAACCGCCTGTCTGTCGCCGAAAACTGCCACTGTTTCACCGCCGCCAGTGATTTTCTAGCAAGTTGTCGCCGTTTTTAGTCGCTGCCGGCGATCGGTCACAAGTGACTCGCTGACTCTCCCATGACTCGGCGGCTCAGCTGAGTCGACTCAGCGAGTCAAATCAAGTCGGTTTGGTTAGTCAATTGATTTTCAGTTAGGAGTTAAACCGGATGGTTATTGGAAATTAATATCAAATAAAATTGGGTGGTTTACGTAAATCGGATGGTCCAATTGAATTGATATCAATTAAGAAAAATCGGTTGGTTTATCAATTTCAATTTTGTCAAGGGTTGACTGGCTTGACCTTTGACCAACGAGTTGACTTTTGACCATATCACTGGTTATCTATTTTTAACCGTTCAAAGGGCATTCTGACTTGATTTTTCACCTTTATTTCAGATTTGGAGTGTATTTAAACAGCATGAGTTCATTGATACCAGTTTTCCACATAGCTAAGGTGAGGGCTATTCCGTTAAATCCGATTACTAGTTTCGAAACATGTCCCGTCTTTATGAATTGAGCATGTTTGAGTCTTGCGTGGTAGTTAATGTGTTCATTTTAAACTGAAAATTAATGGTATAGAGGATTCAACCATTGATTGAATTTGGATGTTAAATGGCGATTTATATATATGTATGTAGTTATAAATATAGGGACTATGTGGAGATTGCGGGGGCCAAAGACGCAGGTGTGTGGATGATTGCGGGGTGCAAAGACAGTTGCATATCAACGCAGGGTGATGACTGCGTGGTGCATAGACATTTGCATAACGACGTAGGTTATGATTGCGGGGGTGCATAGATGGACTTCTGTACTATCGACGCAAGGTTTATATATATCACTCCTCATATATATATATATATATATATATATATATATATATATATTTTTGTATGAGGAGAATGCAGGGTGTATGGTTTAGCTATGTGCTATCATTACATTGTTTGTTTCGTGTGATGCATTAGGCGTCTTGTGTGTTCATGTTAGAGCTAAATTTTCATAGTAGGAGTTCTATTTACTTAGTTAGTGGTCTGCATGTCTAGAATCCCATATATCACTAAGTGACTCCCATGTTATTCACTCCTCCTTCTTTTCCTTTCAGGTGAAACCGATGAGCAAAAATGATTGCTATTTTTTTTTCCTTTTGGGATTTACTTCTATTCACTTTCAGATTTCTGCTTTATAATATTATTTATATATGTTTATATTTTATTTTATTTATTTGAGTTATGATGTTTGAAGATGATTTATTCTAAGTAATAAACGGATAGATTATTAATTATTTTATTATTTTGAAAAATACAGGTGTAACAATTTCTTATGCCCATTAAGTTTGATTACTGCATATGGAAATCAAATATAACATAAACGGCTGACAAAATAGTGTGGCTAATGTAGTCCTTCACCTGGAGCTACGGCTCTAGCGTTCAACAAAGGTTGTAGAGCTTTCACAACTGTACTCATATATGGCCTAAAATCTGCTTCATACTGCACACACAACGCTGTAACCGCGGCTAACTGCTTTTCATCATCCAAGACACATGCCATAATCTATAACGGAGCGTCCAAGTAAACATAATTTGTGATTATGTTTTTAATACCTTAGCAACAGCTTTTGGAGCGTAATCGCCACCAAGTCGTGCATCAACGCATTGTTTAACCTTTTCTGTTCGTATCATCATCATCATGTTTAGATAACTATGTGTATTTATCTTATAGATAACTGTGAGCATGAGATAAGGTTGACTTGACCATATCTTGTGATCTCGACTTGTATAAATAGAGAGCTGTGTACATCAATAAACTTAAACTTTCATAATACAAATTTTATATGGTATCAGAGTAATTCTAGATCCAAATTGCTTAATTCTTCTTTCTTTTTCCGCACACAAACACAAATCTCTCAAGAATGACCGACAATAACAGCTCTCTCATGCCTGCCACTGCTACGCACACCGTCGTCTACGATCCCAAAAACCCTGCAAAAATCACTACTTGCCGTCAACATGTCAAACGTTACACGATTGACAAACAAAAATTACCTCATGTGGAGTAGACTAATTCAAGCACTCCTCAAAGGCCATGAACTTCACAAATTTCTCGAGAAAACAGAATCCACTCCAGAGGCAGTCACCATCAACAACGGACTTGCTGAACCAAACCCGACTACTCGTTGCAAATGCTACAACCACTCATGAAGTTTGGAGCACACTCAACCTCATCTTTGGCACACCAACTCGTGGACACATCAAACAATTGAAATTCCAAGTCAAAAGCGGCAACAAAGGTACAAAAACCATAAGTGAGTATCTACGTTTGATCAAGACTAAAGCATATGAACTTGTGCTTCTTGGTATGCCAATTGACCCTGGAGATCTGATAGAACAAATCCTAGCGGACCTTCCTGAAGACTATAAATCTGAGATTGACACAATCAACAGACGAGATCATTTGATCTCCTTCTCTGAACTCACGGAAAAGCTACTTAACCTTGAAGCCATGATCTTCTGCGACCAACCAGCAACACCAGCATTTCCAGCTACAGCTAACACCACCACAAGAAGCAACACCAACACCAACAATAATAACAACTACAACATCAACAATCGCAATAATAGCAACTGACGTCCATCCTTTGCCCCACGACAAGGCATCAACACTCCTCGATCGTCTCGTCCTTACCTTGGAAGGTGCCAGGCCTGTGGAAATCAAGGACACAATGCTCAACGGTGTCCATCATTCAGAGTCATTTCAAACAACTCGATGCAGCAAAACACTCAGCAACCTCACTGGCGGCCACATGCCAGTGCAACATACATGACAAATCAACATCCTGATGCATGGCTTATAGACAGTGCAGCATTCCACCATGTTACAACTGACCTCAACAATATGGCTGCACATATGCCATACGCAGGATTAGATGGCATAGTGAATGGGAATGGAGCCAATCTTCCCATAACACATACCGGTTAACTCTCTCTCTCTACAAACTCCATCTAAGAATTTTGATCTTAATAATGTTCTTTATGCTTCTTCTATGCAAAAGAATTTGATCTCAGTGAATCGATTTTGCAAAACTAACAATGCCTTTGTGGAACTCTTTCCAAATATGTTTCAGGTGAAGGACCTTCCAACAGGGACACTGGTTCTGACCACGCCAGTTAATGGCAACCTATACGAATGGCCTACCAATGAGTCACGCACTCATCTTGCTTTCTCTGCTGTATCATCATCGCCTTTAGACTGGCATCACAGACTAGGACATGCGGCTTTCTCAATTTTACAGCATATTTCCTCTTGATTTCCTCCTGGCTTTTCTTGTCATTCTTTAAATTCTTTTCACTGCAATGCTTGTTCCATTAATAAGAGTCATAAGTTGTCATTCCATGAAACCTCTATTATATCCTCTCGTCCCTTACAAATATTGTTCTCAGATGTTTGGTCTTCTCCCATCCATTCTTTCGATGGCTATAAGTATTATTTACTCTTAGTTGATCATTATACAAGATACATGTGGTTCTTTCCTCTGAAACTAAAGTCACAGGTCGCAGCCACATTTATCAAATTCAAGGAACTTGTTGAGACCCAATTCCAGGAAAAGATAACTACACTTTACAGTGACAACGGAGGTGAATACATAGCACTACGACCATTCCTTGCACAACACGACATCTCTCACCTCACAACACCACCACATACACCAGAGCACAATGGCCTATTAGAGAGAAGACATCGACATATTGTTGAGACAGGTCTATCGCTCCTCACTCATGCCTTCGTTCCCACTGAATACTAGACATATGGATTTGCTACAGCAGTATACTTGATCAACAGGCTGCCAACAAAGTTACTTTCAATGGACAATCCATATTCCCGGCTCTTTGGTACTCCTCCTCACTACGCTAAACTCAAGATCTTTGGGTGTCTCTACTACACATGGCTGCGGCCATACACATCAAATAAACTAGAACCATGTTCCACTCCTTGTGTCTTTCTTGGTTACTCGCTAACTCAAAGTGCTTATTTTAGTTTAGACCCCTCTACCTCTCGAGTCTTTGTCTCACGTCATGTTATCTTTGTTGAAAATAAATTTCCATTTGCTTCTTTAAGTGCTAACGTTTCTTCTCCAGCACCAGAGGAGCCTGCGTGGGTCCCTACGGTGGTCCTTATTCGTCACATGGGTCAGCAGCAGGTGCGTTTTGAGGATCCTTCACCAGAAACTACACCTGCAACAACAACAACTCAACATGCACCAACACCTCAACCAGATACATCAACAGAGTCTACAACATCGACACTTGCTTCCTCTACTGTAGCACCTCAACAATCTCAAAATCCTATGACAACAAGATCTCGCAACAACATCGTGAATCCCAATCCAAAATACGGTCTCACCCCAGCTCTTGCTCCATACATCGAGCCAAATACAATCACTCAAGCCCTGGCTGATGAACGTTGGCGCAAGTCTGCAACTGCAGAGTTCAATGCTCAAGTTGCTAACAACACATGGGATATTTTTCCAGCTGAAGAAGCAACAAACCTGGTCAGCAACAGGTGGCTATTCCGGTATAAATTTAATCCAGATGGGACTGAGAAATCACTAAAATCGCGACTGGTGGCAAATGGCTATCATCAACGTCCAGGAGTGGATTATCATGAGAGTCATCAAATCCCCAAAAATTCGACTACTTCTCGATCTAGCAGCAAAATATGATTGGCCCCTCAAGCAACTCAACATCAACAATGCATTTCTTCAAGGAACTCTCAATGAGGATGTGTATATGGTTCAACCAGCCGGTTTCATTGACAAAGATAAACCGAATCATGTGTGCAAACTCAACAAATCCCTTTATGGCCTAAAATAAGCACCAAGAGCTTGGTACAGGGAGTTAAAAACGTATCTTCTCAGCATTGGCTTCAAAAATTTGGTGGCTGATGCGTCTCTCTTCTTCTTACATGATCGTGGGATTGCCATCTTCATACTTATATATAGATATTGATGACATTGTGGTCACTGGTAAATCTCTTTCAAGAATACGAGATATCATCAGTACCCTGTCTAAAAGATTCTCACTCAAAGACCTCGATGACTTGGGATACTTCTTAGGCATTGAGGTAATGCGCACCTCTCAGGGCATTCATCTATCACAACACAAGTACATTGCTGATATCCTGCACCGCATCAACATGACATACGCCAAGCCAGTTGCAACACCCATGATGGCCTCCACATCATTATCTATACGTGATGGCACGACCTTAGATAACCCTTCAGAGTACAGAAATGTGGTCGGCAGTTTGCAGTATATCCTTCTCATACGACCTGACATTGCCCTTGCAGTCAATAAACTTTCTCAGTTTATGCACAAGCCCTCCGATATACAATGGATGGCGGCTAAGAGAGTACTAAGATACTTGTCTGGCACGTACACCTCTGGTATATTCCTCTCTCTCACTGCTCTCTATCCCTACATGTTTATTCAGATGCAAACTGGGCTGGTAACAAAGATGATTATACATCCACTGGCGCATACGTTGTATTCTTTGGTCAACATCCCATATCATGGTCTCCAAAGAAACAAACAGGGGTAGCAGGCTCCTCCACCGAGGCTGAATACAGGGCTGTCTCTGCTGCTGCTGCAGAGGTCCGATGGCTTTACTCTCTCCTCCACGAACTACACGTCCGATCACTTCAACTCCACAATTTATTGTGAAAATGTTGGGGCAACATATCTCAGTGCCAACCCTGTATTTCACTCACGCATGAAGCATCTTGCTCTGGACTTCCACTTTATACATGAACAAATTCAGAATGGCACTTTTCGGGTCTCAAATGTGCCGTCAAAGGATCAACTAGCCGATGGACTGACCAAACCATTACCCAGGAACCGGTTCCAACTACTCTTCAGCAAGATCGGAATCACTAACTGTGCTCCGTCTTGAGAAGGGATGTTAGGATAATGACGTATCATCATTATCATGTTTAGATAACTATGTGTATTTATCTTATAGATAACTATGAGCATGAGATAGGGTTGACTTGACCATATCTTGTGATCTCGACTTGTATAAATAGAGAGCTGTGTACATCAATAAACTTAAGCTTTCATAATACAAATCTTATATTTTCTTCGCTCAGTTTAGGTGTAGCCTGAAGCACAAGTAACCATTATATGGATATTAATAATAGAGATATATTAAGACAAAAAAATGTGTAGGACTGAGATGAGCTACTACCCATGTGATTAGACTTTGCTGGCCTCTGGGTAATCTATGATCAACAGGTTTCGACCTGTAAAAAGTTTGAGTGAGACAACTCCAAAGCTGTACACATAACACTTGGCATCTAATTGACCGTTCATCGCATATCTGTTAAGATTATAAAAAAAAAAAAAAGAAGGAAGAGCATTTGAGACTTAAAGAGAGCTCACAATATTACATTTTTTTTATACGAGCAGCTCTGCTACTTACTCAGGGGCGTGGTAACCGAAAGTTCCAAGAACACGATTTGAATGAAGGTGAGCCGCCATGTCAGGAACTTGATTAGAAAGATCAAAGTCAGCAATTTTGGAAACATCATTTCCAAAGAGTAGGACATTGCTGGATTTAATGTCACGGTGAATGATGCGAGGACGTGCAATTTCATGTAAATACTCAAGCCCTCTTGCAGCTCCTACTTCAATTTTCACTCGTTGATACCACGACAAGACAGGACCTGGCAGTGCTCCCTTCAAGCCTTTTCTCCCTGAGGGATCAATAACACGATGCTAGAGCTAAGTAAAGCCCACAAATAAATTTAGTTTCTTTTTGAAGGAGGTTACCATGAAGAATATCATGAAGAGAACCATTTTTGGCAAACTCATAGGAAAGTATTCTTGAATTGCCGTCAACCCAGTAGCGAAGAAGTTGAACAAAGTTATCATGTGTCAGCCTCGACGCCATGGAAACCTGCAACGAGTGATAGTTCCCAAGTTTAAAAATACAAAGTCAAATACTTCTGACACTAATGGTTAGGTGTATAGAGTCATAGGTTCAAGCATGGGCGAATCTACATGGAGTGTGGGTGGGGCAGCTGCCCACCATGTTGTAATTTTAGTGTATTTTAATTGAATTATGGGTTGAGCACAAGCCAAGTACTTGCTGATTTTTGAAGATCTGGTACTTGGCTTGGCTCGTTCAAGTAATCATATTTAGTATTTGGAATTTACATGTTTAAAATAAGTACTTGCTATATCAAGTATTCGAAAAAAAAAATAGTACTTGCAAGTTACTTGCTAAAACTTCCCGATTTGTTATTTATTCAAAACTTTCCGATTTGTTGCTTGCTAAAATCACGTGCTTGTTTATAAAATAATTATTACTCGCAAGTTTTAAGTAAGTAAAATAAATATAGTGTCATATAAAAATGAGTATACGAATTTTATTATTTTTTATCATAAAACTTTTTAATCAAATCTAATATGTTTATCTGATTTTAGTTACAATATAAATAAAGGCAAGATATTTTAAACAGATAACTGGGAAATTTTAGAAACTAGTAGAGAATAATAGGTAAAAGAATAAGCAACGAGATAAATATTAAAGATATGAAGATATTTAACACTTAACTTATATTCACAAATAATAAAATTTGTCGGCTTATTATCCGATTTAGCAATGGGAAGTACTTGATTTTTAAGGTAAAACAAGACAAATAAACCAAGTAAAAAAGAATCATGGTTCATCTAATTTTAAAATTTAGGTGGACTAAGATTTTGAAACTATAAAATCTTATGCCAAGGTTGCTTGAACAAAAAATATATATTTAGGAATGGGTAAGAAGTCCAAATGAGTCGAGTAGTTAATTCTTTTAAATAGTCTTTGTACTTGCAAATTTTTTATTTGAGGTATTTGTTACTTAGCTTGATCATTGTGACGATTTTACGGGGCAAGGGGACGAGTAATGGGTACGAGCCGAGTTTCAAGTATCTGTGCTTAGTATCTTTTATACAGATTTTTAATTTTGCCTCTGTTAAAATTTCAAAGTTATAAGGTATAGATAGTATTTTTCACAGTTTTTCCCCTGATCAATTCTAGTTCTAGTTCTGCCCCTGGGTTCAAATCCTGTTGGGAGGGGTCTTCTCTCAAAAAGAGTGTGAATTTAAAATAGTTTGGGATTTGTCCTATGGCATGTCCGAGCCCGAACCTCCTAATTATTAAAAAACAGTGACTAGTTGGAGAAAACTAGCAAACCTGGGCAAGGAACTCATTGTCAGGCTGTATGTTAGAATCCAGCTTTTTAATTGCTGTGGCTGATCGTTAGTTAGCACTCCATGATATACTCTTCCATAAGAGCCTTCACCAATGAGAGAAGTGGATCCAAAATCATCAGTTGCTTCCTTGAGTTCAGTGAGAAGGATAGTAGGTACTCCAATAGGCTGCACTTTCACAGTTTGAGCAGTGCTCTTTTGTGCACCACAACCAATACTCCAATAGTTAAGGAAACAAAAACTTAAAGCCTTGAGTTTTGCTTGGTAAGAGTCATCATGTCTGCATAAACCTTTAGTTCTATCATTTTAAATACCTCCTCCACAGTGTTTGGATGTATTGTGGTCTCCATAATCAGCAGCAGCTTTATGCATACCATCTTCCTCGCAACAGCCGAAGCAGCTCATTTTCTTCTTGTTTATCTATCTGTAAGAGAACTATAAAAGCTATTCATAGGACGAAATTATAGGACTAAGATTAATTAAATACGCAGAAATTTTATATATTTGCAAGAAATAATACATATATGTAAAGAAAACTTATCTAGTTTTGTCAACTTTGATAGCCTGTCAACATAAACACTGTTGGGTTAATGTGACTACACCAAAAGCCAACGGACCAGGTTGTCACCTTATTTTTAAACTCGGAATTTCGGTTAACCTCAACGGCGTGAAATCCGCCGTCAGCCGCCCATTACAACTGACCTTGTTTTGTTTTATGTGTGGCCGTTGATAGCTGGGATAAGTTCAGGTATGATTTAGAAAAATGTCACATTTGTTTTAATCTATTCGTTTTCATGAATTATGGATGAAACTACTATTTTAAATATACGCATTATTTTCTTAGCATTAATCAAATATAATTCTGATAGAGATGTCTCTTATATAATAGTCATTGCAATTTTATATTATGTTGTTTTGAAAAATCACACTACATTCTACATACTTTCTATACTAGGTTCATAACTATACTAGCTATTTTTTACACATATGTAGTCTGACTATTCTAGCTATTTTTACAAAACAGCTATTTGTAGTCTCACTATACTAGCTAGGTTCATAATCACATTTCTTACACATATGAAGTCTTTTTTTTTTTTTTTGAACACCACATACCATAAATTAAAACCACTTTCGGAAAAACCTACGGTGGGGAAGAAACATTACAGAGAGTAGCTTTTGCAAGTTGATCCGCAAGAGAGTTTAACAATCTCTCAACAAATTTAAAAGAAACAGAAGAAAATTGAAGGGATAGATGATCGATGTCCTGGATGATTCCGAAGAGTTCAGCCGGAGGGAGCGTCGATGAGATCGCTGCTAGGAGCGCTTGACAGTCTGAATTAAAACAGATACTAAGATAGCCCCGTGAGAGGGCGATAAAGATTGTGAACCGTAAAGCTAGAGCTTCGGCGATGAGTGGTGATGCTACATGTCTTTCCACTCGAGATTCCTGGTGTATGATTTGTCCTTCTCTGTTCTTGAAGATACATCCGTAAGCTGCTGTATTGTTTTCCTTTTTCCATGCTGCATCTGAAAAACCAAGAATTAAAGCATCCAGATCGGGAGTGCTCAATGCCTGGTTTCGGTATCCAACTGATGGAGTTGCTGTGATCTGAGCCATGTTCCATTCCCGTGCGTTCCATATAGCATTTGAAATTGTTGCTTCTGGTGATATATCTCTGTCTTCAAAAATCAGCTTATTCCGCGCCGTCCAAAGGTTCCAACAGACCCATGGAAACAAGTCAGAGAGAATTCCCACGGGTGGAAGACATGTAAGGGTTTTACATTTTTTCAGAGCATCAGTAAAAGCCGTAATTTCCATAAAAACTGTTGGATCAAAAGGAGTCGAAAACAGGGAGGATGACCACACTCTTTTTGCATACTCACAGTGAAGGAAAAGGTGTGGGATTGTCTCCAGTGCACCACATCGGCGGCAGTTTGTATTGTGGAGCAATCCTCTATGATGCAAGTTCGCTCCAACCGGCAAGGCTCCCTGCGTAATTTTCCAAAGAAAAATTTGTAACTTGGGAGAAACGCGTCCTGACCACAGCAAGGTTTTCCAGTCAGGTATCGGTTGATGGCCTGCTCTATTAACTTCAGCTTCTGATGCTGCATAATAACCAGAGCGGGTAGAGTAAATTCCTGATTTCGAGCCCAACCACACAAAACCATCTCTGCCTCCCGTCAGGCTCGGTTTCAAGAGCCTTATCTCATTTATGAGATGAGGAAAAACTCTTTCAATCATCTGAATATTCCACTCTTTTGATTCACGAACTAGAAGATCAGCAACCGTCAAATCTTGGAATTCCTCCGGGGCCGGCCCGAATGGGGTTTGTGGAGCAGAAGTGCTTAGCCAATTCCCCTTCCAGACGTTGATACTCTCCCCGTCCCCGATCACTGATCCAAGCTTCTCGCATAGGAGGTCTCTGCCCGCTAAAATCCCTCTCCATCCATGGGAACATGAGCTAGGGAGTTTGACTCGGAGGAAGGCTTCTTTTTGACAATACTTGCCAAGCAATATACGTGCTAAGAGCCCTTCCGGGTTTGTAACAATGCGCCAAGCCTGCTTAGCCAACAAAGCCGTGTTGAAGAGTTGAATATCCCGAAAACCCAGCCCTCCTAGGTCCTTCGGCTTAGTGAGTTTTCTCCAGGAGACCCAACACATTTTCTTTTCCCCGGTATTAGAATCCCACCAAAATCTCGTAAGGGCTGATTGGATCCTTTTACAAAGGCTCAAAGGAAGCTGAAAACATGTCATAGCATGGGTCGGGATTGCAGAGAGAACCGATTTTAACATGACCAATTTTCTAGCACTAGAGAGGCATCGCGACGACCAGCTGCTCGCTTTTTGTTTAATTCGGTCTACGATGCTCGTGAATAAATCCTTCTTCCGTCGACCGAAATGCTCTGGGAGGCCCAAATACTTCCCTACTCCACTTCTTTTTCGATCCCGAGGTAAGATTGGACACGCAAACGTGTCTCCTGCGGGGTTTTCGAGGAGAAGGAAATGGAAGACTTTGTCGGGTTGATCATCTGTCCAGAAGCTGTTTCGTACTTGAGTAGGATGCTCTTGAGCGTCTCCCAGCTCTTGGTGTCTGTCTTGAGGAAGAACATAGTATCATCTGCGAAAAGAAGATGGTTGATGCGTGGAGCTGCTCGTGCCACTCTCAATCCTGTCATATGTCCACTTGAGTGTGCTCTTCTGCATAATCCGGAAAGAACTTCTCCACACAAGATAAATATGTATGGGGATAATGGGTCTCCTTGTCGGATACCCCGAGAAGGAAACACCCTGCCATGTACTGAATCATCAATGAGAAAAGAGTAAGAGACTGTCGAAATGCAGCTCATCACCCAATCCACCCATACACCATCGAAGCCCAGGCGCTCGAAAACCAGTTGAATGAACTTCCACTCAAGTCGATCATATGCTTTACTCATATCCGTCTTTACTGCCATTGAGCAATTAATTTTTGCGTCTGATGTCTTCAGGTAGTGTAGCAGTTCGTGCGTTATCAAAACATTATCTGAGATTGCCCGGCCTTTGATAAAAGCTGACTGTGTCTCGCTGATAATGTCTTGCAGTACCGGCTTCAAACGAAGAGAGAGGATCTTGGAAACAATCTTGTATGTCACATTACATAAGGCGATTGGTCTGTAATCAGAGACCAACTTTGCTCCTGTGATCTTAGGGATGAGTCTAACATATGTTCTGTTCGTCGAATCCTTGCATATTCCCGGCCCGATGACTTCCCAATTTGATTGGAAAAAGCTAGCTGAAAATCCATCCGGTCCCGGAGCTTTATCCGGATGGATTGAGAAGAGTGCAGTACGTATTTCAGCATGTGAAGGTATCCTTGTTAGCTCCGCATTTTTCTCTGGTGTGATACAGGGAACAATTGCATCATCGATAATTGAGGCGATGTTTTCTGTATTTTGTGTTATGTTCCCCGACGTGAAAAGGTCCTCATAGTAGCTCGATATTCTTGCTGCAATGAGTTCCTCTTCGAACACAGCATTCCCATCTGTGTCTTCAATCACTGAGATGCGATTCCTAGCCTGTTAAGGTGTTGTTCTCTACTCCAGATAACTAGGGCTTTTCGGACTTCGGCCAGCCGGTGTTCTGAGTGTAGGTGTTGTGAATCTTGCCAAGTCCGTGAGATAAGTTCTTTTACCTCTGCATTGTCTCGAAGTCTGCGGTCATAACGGAATATTCTGTTACTCTTCTTTTTAACAGAATCGAAGATGGATACCAGTGGCCGGTGATCCGACCCATTTAGCTCCAAGTAGTGGCTACGGGCAGAAGGGAATAGGTCAGACCACATGCTGTTGATCAGAGCTCTATCAAGTCTACAGAAGATTAGGTGCTTGCCTCTCGTTCCTCGCCAAGAAAAAGAATTCCCCGAGTGTTTCAAGTCAAAAAGATAGCACCGAGCTAAGAGGTTGCGAAACGCACTGAAAGACCCTTCTGATCTTTGCCGTCCCCCTATTTTTTCGCTGTTATCAATGATTTCATTGAAATCGCCGGTTAGAAACCATGGTTCATTCCGGTTTTCTGCGAGCAATAGGAGTTGATCCCACACTAGATGTCTTTTTGGAATGTCGGGTTCCCCATAAATAAAGGAGCCATAGAAAGAGATTCCTTTATGTAAAATTTCAGTATCGATTACATTGTGGTTGGAGCTAATCACCCGAAGATTTAAATCCGTTTTCCAAAAGAGAGCCAAACCACCGCTAGCTGGTCTCTCTGGGGGAACTAAAAAGTGATTATACATACTCAAGAAATCCAACTCTTTCAGTACAAAACTATCGATATTTTTGGTTTCCATGAGGAAGATGATGTCAGGTGAGATTTGTTTGTGAATCTCCCTGATACGCTGAACTGTCATAGGGTTCCCCAACCCATAACAGTTCCAGCTGAAGGTCGCTAAGGTAGATGGGGAGGATCCTCGGGAAAATCCAACCGAGGACGTTTACTCGCTGGTATGATTGTAACTCGAGGTTGTGTAGCTTGAGATCTTGTACCGGCGTTAGATGTTCTTTGTGCTTGACTAGTAGTCTGTGAATTGGCAGGGGAAGAACGTCCTTGCAACAACTTACGTTTCCACGACGATGATCCCTTAAAAACTTTTGGACTGATCCTTATGTCTTGTGATCTTGCAGGGCGTCCTCTTCTTCGACTAGGTTGTCCCTGAGTGCTACTCCTTGTAGCAGTCGTTGTGATTTGAGGAACTGGAACTGAGGTAATTGAGTGTAGGTTATGAGCCTCCGAGGAGGCCTGAATAATCCCAGCCACCGTTTCCTCAACAGAGCCATCTATTTCGCTTTGTAGTACTCGCTGCATCCTAGCTGCCCTTTCTATTGGATCTGCTACATTGGTGTATTGCAGGGTAGCTTTTTGTATATCATCCAGGACTTGCTCTGCTGTAGGGATTGGTGGAGGAGTGTTTATATCGGTCGCTGTCCCTTGAGTAATTCGACCCACTGTTTCCTCTACTGTTCCATCCATCTCACTTTGGAGTACTCGCAGCCTTCTAGCTGCACTTTCATTCGGGTCCTCCACATTAACGTAACGTAAGGTAGCTCCCTGGATTTCTTCTAGAAACTCTTCTGTCGTAGGAGCTTCTATAATGGGTGGAAAATCTTGAGCGTTTAGGTTTCTTCCCAAAGGCATTCTCCGAGGTGTTGTGGGAGATGTTTGACTTAAACTCTGATCCTTCATCTGAGTATTCTTGCTCTGCCATTGCACACATATGTAGTCTAACGAAGTTATAAGAACCATTACTTATAACTTCGTTTACACATATGTAGTCTAACTATCCTAGCTATTTTTTAAGGATATTATACTAGCTAGTTTCTTATATGATTTTATGGTTCCACGTTAATACTTTGATATTGCGTAGGTTCCTTCAGAAACAACGGACGAAGTATAAACAAATGATAACTCTAGTTTCAAAAAAAAAAGTCTGAATAAATGATAAATGTGGTTTGGTGAGTTGTGGTCGTATATATGAATTGTCGTTATCATGCATGTAATATGCCATGTTCGATAGGAATCATGGTGTCTTTTTGGTTAACTAGGATAAGACCTGCGCCTTGCGCATGGTGAATATATGTAATTAAAATAATAAATTTTAGTACTGACAAATTTAAAATTTACATATGATTGTTTTTGTATGTATTTGAAATTTTAGAATTTTAGAATTTTTATATAATTATCTATACGTAGGATCATAAACAATTTTAATTAGAAATGTAGATCAGATCTTATAATTTAATGGATCTGATTTCATATATCTTTTCACTTTTAAGTGTTCGAATGATGAAAAATAAATGGAATGTCACTGGTCTTGATTGGTAGAGTATTAGCAAGTTCCCTAATGTTTTTTAAGACGCAATTGATAAAATATTTGCATTTAAAATATATAAAGTTTCAAAACTAATTTAATATAATTTATTTATTTGTCTAATAATATTAGAAAATTATTTTTTTACAAATTATTATTTTTAAAATAATTTTATAAAAAATTATGTTAAATTTTAAATTATTTTTAAAAACAATATTTTAAATTTTTCAAATACAAATAAACAATTTAAAATTAATTATGGTCATGATTTAACATAACCATTATGATTTAAAAAATTAAAAAAAATTAACTAAGTTTTATATCATGATTTAACAATTTAAAAATTAATTATGGTTATATAAAGTTAACGTTTACATGTCAATCCTATTTATCTTCCATTTTTCTCTTGCTATGTTTTTTTTTATATTTTGGTTATTACTCGATATAAATATTCATTTTGAATTTTATTCTCATTTTGTTTTGACCTGAAATTTAGTAAATACTTAAGATTTAAAATAATTAAAGAGATACATACTTAGGTTAAGATATGCACTTTATGCACAATAAGTATTTTATATTTATTATATATTTTATATTTTTCTGCATATTATAAATAATAAAATAATAAATATATATTAAATAACTAAGAAATCAGTTACTATTATGTAATAAATTGACGTATGCATATAAATTTAACTATTACTCTTGTTTATTCACAATTAGGGTAAATAAATCAAAATAATTAATCTTATATATTGTATATGATATATAATTAAATTTAAATGATATAAACATAGTAATATAGCACACTTTTAATATGTATATTTATTAAATGAGGTTTCTACTCATATGATTTTATGATTATTTGCATATTTGTGTAACGAAACTTTACACCAACAATTTTTTTTTAATGTGAGATGTTTAGTAGTTTCAATAATTTATATTCATTTTAAAAAAACAATGACATATTTCAAAATTAAAATATTAACTTTTCAATATATGTTCAAGTCAAATATCAAAATATAAGTATGTATTTTCATACGATGTATAGTTTAATTAAAATGATATGAAATATATATAAACTAAAATTATTTCTTCATATGGTCTTATAATCATTATATTTTAGTATAGAAAAAAAATTAACACCTTGATCTTAAAAGTTTATGTGGGACTTTTAACAATTTTAGTAATTTATACTCATTTTGAAAAATTTGAAATACAACATACACAAAAAAAAATCTAGATTTTTATTATATGATTAATGTAATTGTGTAATTTATTTTAATAATAAAGAAATAAAAAAAATGAAAAAAGTATACAGATTGTTATCAAATCTTTATTGTTTAAAATCATTAATTTTCATATATATATTTTAATCACATTAGGTAATTCCGTAGGTTTTGTTTAAGGAAAGCATGCAAAACAATAAATATTTGATATATGCGCCCGACTATAACCTATGAAATATTATATTGCTAGAAAATCTAATTTTTAAACTATACATTATATCACATGCTCTAGAATCCTTGGGATTTGAAATAGAAGCCAAAGAGCTATGCCGCGTAGGATTGGGGTTATTTTTAATTCTTACAAACTTAAGGTTACAACTTTTTAAATGATTCTCAAATAATATATAGGGGATAACACTAGGTTCACACTAATTAATCAATTATTCTCGAACAATATGGATTAGTGTTATTTGCCGAGATCAAAATATGTTTTTTTTTTTAAATAGAGTGAGTTAGAACGGAATCCCTTATATATTAATCCTGAAGCATTCATAAATGCACAACCTTGGGGAGCATATTTACGTGTCAAGCTCACAGAGCTTCTCAGCTTTAATTTTTTAATGGACCAACTTTGCTAGGAATGAAATAATGTAACATTTAATTTCTTGCATTTAGGACTATAATATATGGACATTTTTTAAGGGACCAACTCTGCTAGGTATAAAAAAAATATATTTTATTTCCTTAAATAAAAGCTACGGAATTACCTAATATGAT